GTATTAATATGGTTCACCTTCAGCGTTGGTGTACCAGCAGCGATCGTTTCGCGCTTGGTAAGACATCGGCGGCAGTTATGATATGTCCTATTCCAGCCACTCTTGTGAATCATATGTACTATGCAGCTATGCGTTGGTGTACCACAGCGACGTTTCGCTTCGGTAGTGGCTCTACTCTCATCTGTTTACCTAGTTAAATCGCATGCCGCAGCAACACTCTGGTGTACCGCATCGGTGGCTCATCGATGGACGTCACCATCATCAACGTCAACGGCGGAATATACCGAGTTTTTTTTTTCCCCGCCGTCCGCGAGCGTTCGACGGAGCATAGGACTAGAGTGCGCCCCGCACATTCACAGGAGGAAATATTCCAAGTACCATCTGCCGGCGACATTCACAACAGGTGAGCGTGCACGGCGAAACTGGGGGGGTGCCGTCGAGGTACGAGGGGGGTGCCGTCGAGGTACGAGGGGGGTGCCGTCGAGGTGCGGGAGCGATGACTCGCTGTACGAGTGTTTGCGCGGTACAAGCGATTGCACTGTACGAGGGTAAACGCTGTACAGGTGTTTGCGCCATATGATCAGTAGCATCGTACGAGCGATCACGCTGTATCAGCGATTGTGTTGAACTGTGATTGAACTGTAAGAGTGTTTGCACTGCAAACAATCGCGTTGTACGAGCGATCACGCTATACAATATTCGTCTACTCCAATTCGATTGTGCCTCGTAGGTAAACATATCTTACATTATACACTATCAGGGGCGTGTACAGGATTTGTACCAGGGTGGGGTCTAACCGTAACCCCAACTTGCGAGCACGCGAAGGCCCTCCCCCAGGAAAATTTTGAAATTAGACCCCCTTAGATGCGTTTTCTGCGCGATCAGGGGGCGTCCGGACCCCCAGGACCCCCCCTCCCCTGTACACGCCCCTGACTATATTACACATCTTCATTGGTACACACAGTATATTCCCAGTCACATATGGGAGGAGAGCGCTCTGGTGTCTATAACCATCGACTGTGTAGTTGTATCTGCAGCCACCGGGTGGCGCCACCGCTGTGCACGCAGAACACGTACTCGTGTGTGTGTGCTGAGGATGCACTTGTGTTTTCAGGGGACGGTTCGAGGGTCTCTGCACAAGTTTGCTCGCTCGGTGCATTCAACCAGCCGACGATTGCTTGGCAAAGGCCGGTCTCGAGCGATCTCAGATACAGAAGGTAAGAGGCTCGCCATGAATGAGCCATTCAGTTCAGAGTTTCTATTCTCGCTCTGATGCCGCTAGAATTTAGCGCGTCGATTTTCCGATCGCTCCGACGACAGTACTGTTTATTTTATATTCATCAGTTTTCCCAATAAGCCAAATCGGAAAGTCCCCGCCGCCATATTGAGATCAGATCTGAGGGGGGTATAAACAGTCCTTTTATAACATGGGTAGGATAGGACTATTCTAGGTTTTTGATCTATAATTCTCTTCACTAACATCGTACTTCAATTCACAGGTGCGTTTCTGTTTACATAAACATTTACGAATATGATTGTGGTCGCTTGGGATATTTTGCAATGTTTGTGTTAATGCAAAAACTAAAAACGCACGAATGTTTACATTAATCATGTACTTTCCTAAGTGCGCCTCGGCCGTTTTATACCTCCTTTTTCTGTGACCTACATAGCACAGCTGGACCTTCCGATCTCACTTATTCAGGCTGGAAGTTTTAGGAATGATTCTGTTTCCCGCCAACAGGTGATGCTAGTCGGAGGCTCGTCGCGTATACCGAGTCTGCAGGCGCAGCTGACAAAAATGTTCCCGGACGCGGCCATATTGAATTCTCTTCCCGGAGACGAGGTAATGTTAGCTCGAAATTCGCTAGTAGCAGACTTCGTCCTGAGTGTGCAGAATGATTCACCAATACTTTTCTATGATAATACTATGCACATGGAAAATTGTTGTTAGCACTTCTAGTGGTTAACCTTCTAGTCGAATTTTTCGGAGGACCCTGCAGAGATGCCAACCACTACGATTTATCCGTATTATATACGAATTTCTATTCCTTTTGCACCACTACGACCAGTTTGCATCAAACTACGAATTTCACTGTGATCGGAAAAAAATTTATTATTGTCATTTTTTGTCAATTTATTGTCATTTTTGACCCTCAGAATGCAGGAAATTGACCCCCCTAGCAAACTCGGGTCACTACGTGACCCTCAAACTACTAATTTTATGGCCAGAAACTACAGATTGCTTCCAATACGTGTTGGCATCTCTGACCCTGTGTCACTGCCACGGTTTTTTGCCAGTTGCTGGTAGCACTGGGTGTGGTGATAGATGTGTAAGTTTAGTGCTGTGCCATGGCAAGATTACTTTACTTCGTTTTTTTCCCAGTAGGTAGTAGCACTGAGTGCGGCGGTGAGAACAAAATTTAGAAGTGACAAAATTATTTTACTTTGTTTTTCTCCTGTAGGTAGTAGCACTGATCGCGGCGGTGAGAACATAACTTTAGAAGTGACAAAATTATTTTACTTTGTTTTTTTGCCTGTAGGTGGTAGCACTGGGCGCAGTGATGGAGGGTTCACTGCTGACGGGCAAGGATGTGATGTTAGGAGTTGACCATCACGACATCAGCATCGACTGCAGCTGCAAGCCAATCATCATCAAGGTGAGAGATCATAGGTTAACGATCATCAAGGTGTGATGTCATAGGCCAATCATCATCAAGGTGTGAGGTCATACGTTAACGATCATCAAGGTGAGAGGGTCATAGGTTAACGATCATTAAGGTGTGAGGTCATAGGTTAATGATCATCAAGGTGAAAGGTCATAGGTTAACAATCATCAAAGTGAGAGGTCATAGGTAAATGATCGTCAAGGTGTGAGATTATAGGTTAACGATCGTCATTAAGGTGTGAGGTTAACGAGGCGTTCATTAAGGTGTGAGGTTAACGATCGTCTAAGGCTGTGGAGGTTAACCTCGTCATTTAAGGTGTGAGTGTTAACGATCATGGTAGCCAGGATTCTAACTTTGCCAAACACTATCTAGCAGTGAGTAACTTGTGTTGACAGTCTGTGACCATGTGTAACGTTACCTTGCAGCATGTGCCTGCGTCTATCAGCATGCATCAGTGTCTAGCGGTTAGTGAAGCCGTATCTATCCGTGTCTGACCATGTTTTAAACAGGCGTCTCTCTCTTGTCGCAGATGTTCTGTGCGGCACGGCAGGCAAGCGAGGTTGCCACGGTGATCGCCTCGGGGACGCCGATACCGGTGCGTCGTCAGCAGACGCTGCGCCTGCCCGCGGGGCAGACGGCCGCTGCGCTGCACGTGTGCGAGGGAGACGAGGGTGACGCCACACTGCTAGCGAAGGTGAGAGGGAGCGGCGACCATCTAAACACGCTCTCTACTGTTTGTAGCAGGGCAGGTCGGACGTGGGTAGAGGCCACTTGTGCACGGAGTGCCAGTCGTGTTGCATGTGTACCTTACATGATATCAGAAGTAGATTAATAGGGAAGCGATGTGAGCTTCAATAAACAGGGAAATTCGTCATTACTAGCCTAGAATACCTACGATTTACTTGCGCGTAACATCAAGCCAACTTGAGCTCAAATCGTACACAAGTACATTCGCGCTAGCATCGTGTGAAATCGTTTCCTCGGTATACACTGCCCAATCCGGAGATACAGACTAAAACGTACGGAACGATTATCCATCTTTGCCAGCAACCGAAATGTTAAACCGCCTAACTTTGAAAACAAAGGCAAGCTACTAGCGAGGCCACACCGCAATCGCCCGAGAGAGCAAGAGTCGTTAGCTAGCCTGGCCTTTTGTTTCAAGTTAGGCCGGTTCGGTTATACATTCCGGTTTGCTGGCAACAGAATGGATTAATCAGATGTCATGTTACGTTTTAGTTTGTATCTCCGGGATTGCGGTGTATACGAGGTAGGAAACGATTTCGCACTTTGAACTTAGTCTAGAACCGCATACAAAGTTAATATATTAGCCGTGGAAATAGCCACTATTTTCCCTTTTGCCCGTTGCTCACTCTAGCGTATTATTAGCTCTTGATTATATGTATATATATGATATATACGTAAAATGTACGTATATACGTTACATTATACGTACGGATGCATGCGTGCATAATGTGTAATCATGGGTCAACAATCCTTAAGTGGCCCACGGGGCCCGACATCCCGTATTTAAAGCTCCGGGCCTGACATTTCTAATACTACAAGGCCTTGCACGGGCTTGTAGCAAAAATCCGACTTCCAGCCATGCAAAACTGTCCCGGTCTGTTAAAATTTGCCTGACGGGCCTGTAAACGTCCCTTACCCTACATGGCCAGCTGGCCTGCTAAAGTTGTCAAACTAATTTTTCTACCCCTGTATATATACATTATACATATACATATACATATACATATACATATACATATACCTTACATATACATATACATATACTATACATATACATATACCTATACATATACATAACTATACATATAATATACATATACATGATACTGCACGTATCACGTGTAACACGACTCGCTCGGCAAGTCGCACTGTTGTGATACCTCTCTTTTTACTAGTTACCTTACAGCTGCCTTAGTACTTTTGCCTACTACACATATAAAAGTAATAAATAAAATAATAAAAAGATATATAACACCTGAATACATATTGATGTATAATATATATATATATATATTATTTTATATAGTATATGTTTAAATATGTATTCATTGTCTTATATTTACATTATTCATTTTTATTTGTTATGTATATATTCATTATTTATTTACTTTTATATAAGCTGATAGGTGCCAAAAGTACTCAGGCATTGCCCCCTAATGCGGAAAATGCAGCGGTTACGAGAATGTTTAATATTAGTTCTGAAATGATTTCTTATTGATACTAGTTGGAAATGTGTGGGTATGTACGCATGCACGCATAATATTATATATGTTTACGTGTATAATAATGAACCTAATGTGTCGGCAAATATTTATGCTACAAATACTGAAATTTGCAAGTTACATGTACTCTTACACCAGCATTTGTCACAGTGTATGATGCTGATATTACATTTTTCTTCAGGGTGTCATGAAGGGTCTACCCGAAGGAGCCGCCATCTCTGTTGCCCTGCATCTTAAAAGGTAATACAGACTTTCACGTTCCGCGTGCAGAACTTTGTTTATATTGCTAATTATTGCTTATTTTATTTTTTTTAAATTTTTTTTTAAAATTTTTAATTTTGTATTCCATACCGCTAGATGGCGATGGAACACGTCTTCGTCTGCACTCACATAATATCATTGACATAATATCATCCGACCTGCCGAGCGAATTAGCGTTGTTGTCTAATCCCACAGTACGCTCCTCCCTCCAGCGGGGAGCGCTGCGCCATGGCCTCCTCTCTACCCATCATCTCTAAGTGACCGTGACCTTTGACCTTGCAGCTGCGGCACCCTTCACGTGACCTTCTCGGAGAAGAGCAGCGGCCGGTCACACAGCTTTACGATCGAGACGATCGACATCATGGAGGCGTGCGAGGAGGCGACACTGGAGGAGGAGTCCGCCGCCGAGAGTTAGATGCTGCGGCGGCAGTCTAGGCCGATCGCGCCGCGCCGCGCGGCGACAGACAACGGAGCATCTCTCGCCGGCACGGTCCAGCGCGGACGGAACTATCGGCAGAACTCGTTATGTCGACGCTAGGCAATCGTTTCGCAGTCGAGCGAACAACGTGGAACAATGCTCGACGCGTCGACCTCAGTGGGAAGGTGAGCGAACGCCATTGCTGTGCATTGTTCGAATGCCGTCACTGTTCGTTGTTGTTTGCGTCGAAAAGAAGAATGATTCAGGAATAAATCGTCGTGCGCGACGAAGTGTGTTCAAAATACATCTGTGAAGGCGTCTTTTCTATTTTTGATTAATCGTGATGATTTGTCTTATCTGATTTCACTGCACACGTGTCTGTGTGCGTGCGTACGTGCGTACGTGCGTGCATGTGTGTAGCGTCAGCTAAAAAGCTGAAGTCACAGATCGGAAGGAGTTCTAACAATACACAGTGATATCAATACCACACTGATAGCTTGTGCTGTAGTTTACCAATCTTCGAAGAGCACACTCAATAAATAAAGAAGCGAAATATATTGCTTGAGCCTCCCACTGCCCATAACCACAAAACCATCGTCCTTCTATTCTTAGACATGATATTTCAACTATAAAAGGGGAACGAGGGTCCAGTTTCCCAAGTAAAAAAAGTATTCCATGTTTCCGGTTAATTTCAATCGCAATTTTGGCTTGGTCGGGTCAGCTTTGTCCAGGTTGACTGCTATTCCCGAATCACAGAAAATCCGTCTGGTATTTTCCGGTTTCCAGGAAATTAAAATTATCCAATTCTGCGTCTCGAAAATATCCGTCTCCTAGAAACGCAGTCAAAATCGCACGCTCGACTAACTTACCACGCCACAGAACAGCAAAATATGGTTGTGCGTCTCCATTATCAGCATCCCCCTTGTGAGCTCCTCGTCACTCGATTTTAATTAACGAAAAAATGGCTGGTTAATTAAAAAAATAATTAAAAAGAGGAGCGTGTGTGTAACAGCATTGTCAAATTATTTTTGTAAATTACGTACGACTAATATCACTTTAATCGGCCAATAGATGGCGGTACGTAAGCATTTGTAAATAATTTTTTGTACGTAATATACGTCTCTTACGACGCATCTTAGCGAGCCGTGTGTTCTATAGAAAATGTGCAGCTGCATGTGCAAGCTTCACTAGATAATTTAAATAATAGTTGGTTGAAATTATCAATTTAATTTAGAAAGCACATACTCACCAATTATTCTAATAATCAATATATGTGCCTAGTCCCACTAAATCTACCCGTAGCTTAGTTGGAGATCCGTGTTGGGCATGCTTAATAGCTGCCAAATTAACCAATATTCTGTTGGTGTTATACTTGGAATGGAACTAAAATGGAAAGTAAATACTTGTCGTAGTAGATACCTATGAAAAATATATTCGGATGCCCCTTTTATGAATAATAGGTGCCCTGGCTGATATAACACTCATAACATATAAATTAGCAAACAGGTGCCGATAAGTGTCTCACATGACAAAACCATATTGTTTTTATTCACTCCTGATTGCATCGATGTAATCGACAGAAAAGAAATTAATAGAAACAAAATCCCTAGATCCTTATTCTCCCCCTATTTTCTAAAACGTACGACACGATTATCCATTCTGTTGCCAGCAAACCGAATGTATAAACCGCCTAACTTGAAACAAAAGGCAGCTACTAGCGAGCCACACCGCATCGCCGAGGGAGCAAGAGTCGTTAGTAGCTGCCTTTTGTTTCAAGTTGGGCGGTTTATACATTCGGTTTGCTGGCAACAGAATGGATAATCGTGTCGTACGTTTTAGTCTGTATTTCCGGATTGCGAGTGTATACGAGGAAACGATTTCACACTTTGAACTTAGTCTAGAACCGCCTACAAAGTATAAACATATTGTCATGAAATAGCACTATTTTCCTGTTTTCCCGTTGTACACTCTAGGTGTTTATTAGCTCTTGATAATCAGATTATATGTATATATATATATACGTAAAATGTACGTATATTACGTACATTATACGTACGTACGATATGTGAATTGTATGTATATATACGCAAAGTGTACCTATGTCACATATATTATGCGTACGTATGATGCGTGCATAATATGTATATCATGGGTCGAAATCCTAAGGGGCCCGTGGGCCCGATGCCCGTATTTTAAGGCTCGTGCCTGACATTTCTAATACTAACAAGCCCAACGGGCCTGTAGAAAATCCACCTCCAGCATGCAAAACTGTCCCCGGCCTGTAAAATTTGCCTGGCGGTCCTGTAAAGTCCCTTACCTACATTCCCGGCTGGCCTGTAAATTTTCAAACTAATTTCTACCTCTGTATATATACATATACATATACATATACATATACATATACATATACATATACAGCACGTATGACGTGTAACACGACTCCTCGGCACGTCGCACGTGCTGATACCTCTCTTTTTACTAGTTACCCTTACAGTGCTTAGTACTTTTGCTACTACACATATAAAAGTAATAAATAACAATAATAAAAAGATTAATATAACACCTGAATACATATGATGTATAATATATATATATATATATTTATTTATATAGTATATGTAATATGTATTCATGTGTTATATTTACATTATCATTTTTATTTGTTTGTATTATCATTATTTATTACTTTTATATAAGTGATAGCAAAAGTACTCAGCATTGCCCCGGGAAAATGAGCGGTACGAGGATGTTTAATATTAGTTCTGAAATGATTTCTTATTGATACTAGTTGGAAATGTGTGGGTATGTACGCATGCACGCACGATATTATATATCGGTGGTGTGTGGTGGTGCGCTGCGTGTGCGTGTGCGTGCGTGTGCGTGTGCGTGCGTGTCGTGTGTGTTAGTGCGTGTTCGTATGTGTGTGCGTGTGCGTGGTGTGTGTGTGCGTGCGTGCGTGTGTGCGTGTGTGTGTGTGTGTGTGTTGTGTGTGTGTGTTTTGTGTGTTTGTGTGTGGTGTGTGGTTGGTGTGTGTGTGTTAGTGCGTGTTTGTGCGTGTGTGCGTGCGCGTGTGCCTGCGTGCGTGCGCGTGTGCCTGCGTACGTGCGCTGTTGCGTGTGTCGTGCGTGTGCGTGTGTGCATGTGTGTGTGCGCGTGTGTTGCGCGTGTGCGGTGCGCGTGTGGCTGCGTGCGTGTGCTGCTGTGCGTGCGCGTTGCCTGCGTGCGTGCGCGGTCGTGCCTGCGTACGTGCGTGCGTGCGTGTGCACACGACGCATGCGACTGAAACCCATTTCGATTCAACTCGATCCGCGATTCAACTCTTATCTCGTATTCCGTGTCGACATTGTGTCGCGCGCGCCTAGAATTTCGATCAGATTTCTTCATAATCTTGTCACTTCGTTTATGTCACACGGTTTTAATTAGTATTAAGCCGATTGGATTCTCATTGAAGTAAAAAAAAAAAACTATCAGGCTGATAGTTGATTC